TAGCAGCATAAAATAGACTGTTATAACTATAAGATATTTTATGTAAGCCTCATGGTAACTACAAATAAAAAACCTGTAGTATATATGCAAAAGAGAAAGAGAAAGGAATCAAAGCATACCACTACCAAAAAAAGCATCAAATCATATAGGAAGACAGCAAGAGAGGAAGAAAGGAACAAAGGAACTACAAAACAGTAGAACACAATTAACAAAATGACAATAGTAAATCCCTACTTACCAATAGTTACTTTAAATATAAATGGATTAAATTCTCCAATCAAAAGACAAAGAGTGGCTAAATGGATTAAAAAAAAAAAAAAAAAAAAACAAGATCCAACTATATATTGCCTACAAGAGACTTGCTTTAGTTTAAGGCATACACATAGACTAAGTGTGAAGGGTTGGGAAAAGATATCACATGCAAGTGGTAACCAAAAGAGAACAGGGATGGCTATACTTATATCAGACAAAATAGACTTTACTTCAAAAACTGTCTTGAGACAAAGAAGGCCACTATATAATGATAAAGGGATCAATTCATCACGAGGATATAACAATTGTAAATATATATACACCCATCATCAGAGCACCTAAACATATAAAGCAAATTTCAACAGAACTTAAGGAAAAAATAGACAGTAATACAATAATAGTAGGGGCTTTCAATACTCTACTTTCAACAATGGATATATCATCCAAACAGAAAATCATTAAGGAAAAGGGAAACTTGAACAACACTATAGACCAAATGGACCTAACGGACATACACATAACATTCCATCCAACAGTAGCAGAATACATATTCTTCTTAAGTGCACACAGACCATTTTTCAGGATAGATCATATGATAGGTCACAAAACAGGTCTTAGCAAATTTAAGAAGATTAAAATCATACCAAGTATCTCTTCCAACCGCAGTGGTATAAAACTAGAAATCAATAACAGGAGAAAAATTTGAAAATTCATAAATATGTAGAAATTAAACAACACACTCCTGAAAAACCAATGGGTTAAAGAAGAAATCAAAAGAGAAATAAAAGAAGTGTCTTGAGACCAAAAAAAAAAAAAAAAAGAAAAGGAAATACAATATCTCAAAACTTATGGGATGCAGCAAAAACAGTTCCTACATTTGGAAAAAAATAAAGATCTCAAATAAATAACCTAACATTATACTACAAAGAACAAGAAAAAGAACAAACTAAACCTAAAGTTAGCAGAAGGAGGGAAATAATAAAGATCAGAGCAGAAATAAATGAAATAGAGACTAGATAAAAAATAGGAAAGATAATGAAACTGAGACTTGGCATTTTGAAAAGATAAATTTGACAACCTTTTTTCTAGACTAACAAGTAAAAAAGATGACAAATAAATAAAATTATAAATAAAAGAGGAGACATTACAGCTCATACCACAGAAATACTAAGGATCATAAGACATTTATACACCACAGATTGCATAACCTAGAAGAAATGGATAAACTTCTACCACACACAACCCATCAAGACTGAAGCATTAAGAAATAGAAAATCCAAACAGACCAATAAAAAAATCAGGTGATTGCATCAGTAATCCAAAACCTCCCAACAAAGAAAAGACCAAGACCTGATGGCTTCACTGGTGAATTCTGCCAAACATTTAAAGAAGAGTTAATACCAATCCTTCTCAAACTCTTCCAAAAAATTGAAGAAGAGGGAGCACTTCCAAACTCATTTTATGAGGCCAACATTACCCTGATACTCAAGCCAGAGAAGGTCACTACCAGAAAAGAAAATTACAGGCCAATATTCCTACGAACGTAGATAAAAAATTCCTCAACAAAATACTACCAAACCAAATTCAACAGCATATTAAAAAAGATCATACACTATGATCAAGTGGGATTCATCCATGGGATGCAAAGATGGTTCATTATACACAAATCAATAAACTTGAACCACTGCATCACAGAATGAAGGATAAAAATCATATGATCATTTCAATGGATGCAGGAAAAGCATTTGACAAAATTCAGCACCGTTTCATGATAAAAAGTCTCAACAAATTAGAGCTAGAAAGAAGGTATCTCAACATAATAAAGGCTATATATGACATGCCCACAGCTAACAATATACTCAACAATGAAAAGATGAAAGCTTTTCTTCTAAGATCAGTAACAAGACAAGGATGCCCACTCTCACCACTTCTATTCAGTATAGTACTAGAAGTCCTAACCAGATCAATTAGGCAAGAAAAAGAAATAAAATGCATACAAATTGGAAAGGAAGAAGTAAAATTGTCTCTATTTGCAGATGATATGATCTTATACATAGAAAACCCTAAAGACTCCACCAAAAAACTGTAAGAAGTAATAAATTCAGTCAAGTTGCAGTATACAAAATTAGCACACAAAGTCAGTTGCATTTCTCTACACTAATAATGAACTACCTGAAAAAGAAATTAAGAAAACAATCCCATTTACAAGAGTATCAAAAAAATACTTAGGAATAAATTTAATAAAGGAGGTGAAAAATATGTACATTGAAAACTATAAGGCACTGGTGAAAGAAATTGAAGAAGACACAACTAAATAAAAAGATACCCTCTGTTCACAGATTGGAAGAGTTAAAATTATCAAAATGTCCATAATATCCAAAATGATCTACAGATTCGATGCTATCCTTATCAAAATTTCAATGACATTTTCCACAGAAATAGAAAAAACAATCCTAAAATTCATATGGAACCAAAAAAGACCACAAATAGCCAAAATAATCTTGAGGAAAAAGAATAAAGCTGGAAGCATCACACTAGCTGATCTCAAAGTAGACTACAAATTTATAGTAACCAAAACAGCATGGTTATAAATAAAAATGGACATACAGACCAATGAATAGAATAAAGAGCCCAGAAATAAATCCATGAATTTATGGTCAATTGATCTTTGACAAAGGTGCTACAAACAAAAAATGGCAAAAAGGCGGTCACTTCAGTAAACGCTGTTGGGAAAACTGATTATCCACATACAGAAGAATAAAATTGGAACTTTATCTTACTCCATTACAAAAATCAACTAAAAATCATTAAGAACTTAAATGTAAGGCTTGAAACTGTAAAACTACTAGAAGAAAACATAGGGAAAAAGCTTCTTGACATTGGTCTGGGCAGTGATTTTTTGGATATGACAAACAAAAGCAAAATAGACAAATGGATTGCATCAACCTAAAAATGTTTCTGTACAGCAAAGGAAACAATCAACAGAGTGAATAGACAACATACAAAATGGGAGAAAATATTTGTAAACCATACATCTGATTGGGGGATAATATCCAAAATATGTAAGGAACTCATACAACTCAATAGCAAGAAAAAAACAACCCGATTAAAAAACAGGCAAAGATCCTGAACAGACATTTCTCAAAAGAAGACAAACACATGGCCAACAGGTATATGAAAAGAAGCTCAACATCACTATTCATCAGGAAAATGCACATCAAAACCACAATGAGATATCACCTCATGCCTGTTAGAATGTTTATTATCAAAAAGACTGGGGCCAGCCCGGTGGCTTAGCAGTTAAGTGCGCGCGCTCCGCTGCTGGGAGCCCGGGGTTCAGATCCCGGGCGCGCACCGACGTACTGCTTCTCCGGCCACGCTGAGGCCGCGGCCAACATACAGCAACTAGAAGGATGTGCAACTATGACATACAACTATCTACTGGGGCTTTGGGGGAAAAAATAAATAAAATTATTAAAAAAAAAAAGACTAATGTAACAAGTGTTGGCAAGGATGTGGAGAAAAGGGAACCCTTGTGCACTGTTGGTGGGAATGTAAATTAATACAGTCATTGTGGAAAACAGTATGGAGGTTCCTCAAAAAATTAAAAATAGAACTACTGTCTGATCCAGCAATCCCACTTCTGGATCTATATCCCACGGGAATGAAAACAGTCTTGAAGAGATATCTGCATGCCTATGTTCATTGTAACGTTATTCACGACAGCCAAAATATGGAATCAACCTACGTGTCCATCAATGGATGAATGGATAAAGAAAATGTGGTATATATGTACAATGGAATATATTCAGCCTTAAAAAAAGAAGGAAATCCTGTCATTTGTGACAACATGGATGAACCTGGAGGACATTATCTTAAGTGAAATAAGCCAGGCACAGAAAGACAAATACTGCATGATCTTACTTATGTGTGAAATCTAAAAAAGTTGAACTCATAGAAGCAGAGGGTAGAATGGTGGTTACCAGGAGCTAGGGTGTCAGGATGGGGAGATGTTGGTCAAAGGGTATAAAGTTGCAGTTATGTAGGATGAATAAGTCTGGAAATCTAATGTGCAGTATGATGACTACAGTTAATACTGTATTGAATACCAGAAATATGCTAAGAGAGTAGATTTCAGGTGCTTTTATCGCCAAAAAATTGGTAACTATATGAGGAGATGACATGTTAATTAGCTTGACTATAGTAATCATTTCACAATGTATATCAAATCATCACATGTACACCTTAAATCTATATAAAATTTATTAAAAATGGCTTTAAAAGAATTAGTTAATTTTATTAAAATGGTATTTTAATAAGGTAACAAAAGAGTTATCACACAAATAAATGTGATCAACTGTAAAAAATAAAAAGAGAGAGAGAAAGAAAAGAAATTCTCCAGGGGCCAGCCCGGTGGCGTAGCGGTTAAGTGCGTGCGCTCTGCTGCCGCAGCCCGGGATTCAGATCCTGGGTGTGCACCAACGCACCGCTCGTCAGGCCATGCTGTGGCGGCGTCCCATATAAAGTAGAGGAAGATGGGCATGGATGTTAGCTCAGGGCCAGTCTTCCTCAGCAAAAAAAGAGGAGAATTGGCAGATGTTAGCTCAGGGCTGATCTTCCTCATACAAAAAAAAAAAGAAAGAAAAGAAATTCTCCAGAAAGAAAAATATTGATCTATTCACTGATGTTACTAGAGAATCCATCTTCTCCAGCCAGCTTCATCAGGGCACCCTTGATCTTCTTGTTTCTCAGGAGATCTCATCTCTGTATATGATGGGGTTCAACATGGGAGTCACAACACGGAAGAACACGGAGACCAGAATGTCCATGTCCCAGACTTCTCTGAGTCTGTCATAAGCGAAGTTGGCTGTTCCAAAGAAGATCACCACCACAGTAATCTGGGATGCACGGGTAGAGAAGGCCTTGATCCTGCCCTGAGCAGAGGGAATCCTGAGGATGGCAGAGATGATGAGTATGTAGGACACTACAGTAAACAGACAGGGGCTCAGGCCAGTGGTGGCACTGGCCACATGGAGCATAGACTCATTGAGAGAGACTTCTGAGCAGGAGAGCTCCAGGAACAATGGGATGTCACACAGAAAGTGATTGATCTGGTTGGGCCCACACATAGTGAGTGTGGCTGCCAGCACTGTGTGTGTCACAAAATTCACCAGGCCACACATCCAGGACCTAGTCAACAAAAAAACACAGACCTTCACACTCATGAAGACTGGATATTGAAGAGGGTGGCAAGACGCTACAAAGCGATCATAAGCCATAGCAGCCAATAAGACACAGTCAACGTGATCTAGGATAAAGGTCTGAGAAATGCAGCCCTCATATGAGATAGTTTTATTCTCCTGGAAGAAGTTCACCAGCATGACTGGAATGGTGGTGGATGAGTAGCAGATGTCCAAGAGACTGCTGAGAAAATAATACTTTGGAGTGTGGAGGGCAGGATTGGCTCTCATCACTGTTAATATGAGAGTATTTCCCAGAAGAGTTATCAGATAAATGATCAAGAAGACCAAGGAGACCACCAGCCCTTGAAATTCAGGATGGTTAGAAAATCCTAGGAAGATGAATGCAGTGACCACAGTTTGATTTTCCATTTCTTTGAGTTCTTTCTCAACTGAAATGAACATTAGGAAATAAAAAGACAATGCGATACAATAACAAATGCTGGGAGAGCTGACTAACTCTTACTCTTCCTTTATTTAGTGGATTAGATGGCATCTCTTCTAGATAGTGTAGCTTGACACTCTGAGACTGGGATATATACCTTCCCCCTCACTCCTGTGCTCCTTTGCCCCTGTGTTGACTTATTATGCCTATTATTATTATCTATTAGCTCATTTGGCTCCCCTACCAGTGTACAAGTTCTATTAGACAAGGAACTTATCTCTCTTTAATCCGTATGTACTCTCTTTAATCCATATGTACTCTATAAAACTTTTTTTAGAAGTAAGGAGGTAGGAACTTCAGTCTTCAGCACAGACACTGAAAAACAGCTGATAAATTAAACTAGAACAAAAATGCTTTTCCTCCAACTTCCCTCTTCCCTGGGAAGAAATCACAATACCAAATCCTAATTTACTGAGTGTGAAGTAGCCTCTGTGACCTTTGCCCCCTCGTGTTACTCATGTGAATATATTACATTATATGGCACAATGGAATTTGTAGATGTAATTAAGATTATTAAATCACATGACTTTAAAGTTCAGAGATTATCCTAGATTATTCAAGTGGGCCTAATCTAATCACAGGAGCCCTTAAAAGCAGAGCAGAAGGTGAAGTCAGAGATTTGAATCACAAGTGGGATTCCACGTGTCATTCCACGTGTCATTGTGGGCTTGAAGATGAAGGGGGCCACATGTTAATGAAAAGGTAACATTGGTCCTAAAATTGCAAGAAACTAAATTTTGCTAACAACTTGAATAAACGTGGAAGTGGAATCTTGCCAGAGTCTCTAGATAAGAACTCAGTCCAGCTAACGCACCTTGATTTTAGCTTGAGCCATGCTCATGCTGTGCCTGTACTTCTGTGAGGCAGACGACCTTGTTGAGCCCTGCTGTGCCTGAACTTCTGACCCACAGAACTGTGAGATAATAAACTGTAAGTGTTTAAACCACTAAGTTTGTCATAATTTTTTATGGTACCACTAGAAAACAAATACACTGAGCATCTCATTTGCTATATGAAACTTCTGGTTATCTGGGGCTAATTATGACAGGCCGCCAATCTAGAAGCCTCAGAAGCGATTTCATCCAATATGCTTTCAAATCTGTGAGCACCCCTCCCTTCTTTGCTCTATTCTCCTTCGTGGTGCCTGTGGCTAGTTCCACCTCTCAGAGAATAGATAAAAGGAGTACAAAGGAAAAAGTCAAATTTACACTGTTTGGATTCCTAGTCAGTAGCTCCAGTAAAAGGTTGGAAGAAAGACAAATTTGGAACTGTTGGGTAGGATGATATTCCTGGATTATTTTAGAATTTTAATTAGTATCTTTCCATTCTGCTTTACCATGAACAACTAACGTATGCTAGGCTGTGACATAACAATCACAGGATCTGAGAAACATGAGAGTTCATTAACTTGCATATGAAATTATTTCCCTGGTGGATTGTCTTTAAATGACTCTTTGTGTGTCTTAAGGTCACCATTTTCTGTAGAAACTGTTAAACTGTCCCTTTTCCTTAGTGTAAGCCAGTGGTCAGCAGCCAAATCAGCACACCAACTTATTTTTATAAGTAAAGTTTTATGTGCAAACAGCCACACTCACTCATTTATGAATCGTATATGGCTGCTTTCATGCTACAGTGGCAGAATTGAGTAGTTGAGAAAGAGACTGTATGGCTCACAAACTAAACTATTTATTTTCAGGCCCTTTACAGAAAAAGTTTGCCAACCCTTGGTGCAAGCAATTGGGTTTGGGAATTTGAAGACTTGAGTTGAAATCATGGCTTTGTCACTTGTTAAACTTGACCTTGAGCAACTTAACTGCTATAAGCCTAAATTCATTCATGTTTAAGATGGAATAATGTCTGGATTACAGAGGTTTTGTTGAGATTAAATTAAGTAATGAATAACGGAGCAGTGAACATAGTTAACCTACAACATAGATTAAGTCTCTCCATTATGCCGCTGTCCCCATTTCAAGTTCCCCATCAAAAATGTTATTTCCCCTCCATATTTTTCCAGATTGACTCGAATGATTCACTATTTATAATAAGAATCAACCACTGTTTTCTATTTATTGACTTGGCTTCTCTAATTTTTTAATTTCACTGTCTCTACCAGCTCCAATTTTAAGGAACTGGTATGAAATTAAATTCACACATTTCTTTCTCACACAACAAACACTTATGGTCCACCTATACAATTGTATCTGCTTTTTTCTTTTTTTTACAACTACGTTTTCTGAGTAGATTTTCACAGGAATCCGTTGAGGGAGGCAGGTAGATTTTATTATCGTAGTTTTTTAAGTAATAAGATTTCCTCTGAAATTGGAAATTTAAAAGGCCAAATATCATATGAAGCTTCAAATAACACTACAAGTGGTTGATAAAGTTAAACCTAATGCCTCTAAACTTCCTTCTTACAATATCCCCTAACTCCTAGTCAGAAACCTGAGAGTCATCTTTAGGCCTTCCCTTCCCTCATCCGCTGACTGTATCTAATTCTTCAGCAAATCCTGTCAATTCTCTCTTTTTCTCTCTCTCCTTCTCTCTCTCTCTGTTTCAAATGTGTGTATTTATTTCCATCTCAATAGCCAAACATGTGAACACTCTCTACGTGGCTGATTCCTTGTCTTTCTTTGGGTCTTATCTTAAACCTCACATCAGAGAGAAGCCTTCTGACCACCAATCTAGTACAGGCTTTTTAAAATCTCTTGTAGCATCCTATTATTTTCCTTCAAAGAGTTTATAGTGATCTTTATTTATATATTTGTTTATTCATTGACTATCAGTTTCTGCCTAGTCAATAAGCTCTGAGTGAGCAAGGATCATGTCTGATTTGTTCACCTCTGTATATATTGCCTGGCCCATAACTGACACTCAATAAACATTTGTTTTATGGATGAATTAATGAACAGGTTTACTAAAACAGAGAATGGATGTGATTAGATATTGCTTTATCACCTTAAAATAAAAGTTCAGTTAGGGTAGTATAGATTTTCTCACCCATCTAAATTTTCAAATCACCCCACAGAAAGAAAGGATTATGTTGGAAAAAGCAGTGATATAACATAAAAGTCTCAAATTCACAATCACTACAACTAACTATTCAGTTAGTCAATCAAGTCAGTCAAAAGAAGGTGCCTGTATGTTGATGCAACCTTGACATATAGAATATTAATATAATAGTAACAACAACAGCAATAACAATAGCTAACATTTTCTGCATATACTAAATGCCAGGTATAGCTACCATACTACATACTTTACATACATTAATTTCCTTTAATTCTTACAACACTTTTGAGAAGTATCATTATTATTGCCATTTTTCAGATGAACAAACTGAAGCTTAGAAGTGATAGGTAAATGCTCAGAGTCATGTAATTAATGAAACCACATATTGGCAAAGATTTGGAGATCCAGAATAAATGTTCCTCTCTACCATTACCTAGTCAAAGTATCTTCCTCTCTCTGAACATTAATTTCCTCATCTGTAAAATAAGAAGGCTGGACCAGGTAATTGATAACATTTCTTCCAGCTCTGATATTTTGTGGTGATATTTGGTATCTGCTTATTTCTTGGCCTCCAAGATCAAGCTAAATAATAGCAACAGTAAGAAAGTCAGAGGTCTCCCAGGGATACAACAGTTTATTCCTGTCTTCATAAAGTATAAAGGTCAAGGATAAGATGAAGATTTTAGCCTATACGCTGATATGGTAAACCAAATAATCACTCCCCAAAGATGCCTACGCCCTAACCCCCGGATCCTGTGAATATATTATGTTACATGGAAAAATAGACTTTGCAAATGTATTTAAGACTATGGACCTTCATATAGGGAGATTATCCCCTGTTACCCGGGTCAGCCAAATCTAATCACTTGAGCCCTTAAAAGCAGACAAATTTCTCCAGCTAGAGTAAAGAGATGCAACAGAAGAGATGAGGCAAGAAGGAGCACAGTCAGAGAGATTCAAAGCATGAGGGACTCAATCTACTGTTGCTGTCTGAAAGAGGCCACAAACTAGGGAATACAGGCAGCCTCTAGAAGCTAAGAATGACCTCTGGCTGACAGTCACATCCTATGCCACATGGAACTGAATTCTGCCAAGAATCTAAATGAGCTCAGAAAGGGATTCTCTCTGAGAATCTTGAGAAAGAAACACAGCCCTGCTGAAACCTTGATTTCAGTCTTTTGAGACACTAAATCAAGGGACGAGCTTGAATATATAGCTGAATTTCTGACCTACAGAACTGTGAGATAATAAATTTGTGTTGTTTTAAGCATCTGAGTTTGTCATAATTTGTTATGGTCTCTCAGTTGGAGCACTCAGGACCTATTTAGCCTTTATCATATACCTATATTCACAAAACTGAAATTGAATTCTAACTATACTCCCTACTTTTTGAGCTTATGAACATTATATCCAGGCTGAAGGTTGATACTTAAATCCTTATTTTTCATTGAGATATAATTGACATATAACTATATCAGTTTCAGGTATATAACATAATGATTTGATATTAATATATATTGTAAAATGATCACCACAATAAGTCTAGTTAATATACATCATCACATATAGTTACATATTTTGTATTGGTGTGATGAGATCTTTTAAAATCTATTCTCTTAGCAACTTTCAAATATATAATACAGTATTATTAACTGTAGTCACCATCCTGTACATTATGCACAGGACTTATTTATTTTATAACTGGAAATCTGTACCTTTTGACCACCTTCATCCATTTTGCCCACCCCTCAGACCTAGCCTTTGGCAACCACCAATG